CCAGCGCCCCGCCCCCACCTTCGCGCCCTCCTTCAGCATCTGGGCGAAGCCCGGGGCCTTGGGCACGTGCAGCGCCATGACGGGAAGCGGGATGGGTCTGGAACCGCGACAGAACCGCTCGCCAGCCGCCGCCCTGGGACCGAACGCCGCGTGGGGTATGCGCGCGCAGCTCCCGGCCCGAACCCCACGCGCATGCGCGGCGGGCCCCTGGCCAGGGACAAACGAGCGCACCCAGAGCGCATCGATGGGCCTTGGGGCAGTGAGTCGAGCGTTGCGCTGCGGCTTGGCCACGTGGTGCGGAGGTAAAGGCCGGCGCTTCTCTGCGGGGAGGGGACTCGAGAGCTCGGCATGCCCCGGCCTCTCACAGTGGCGGGAGGAGTAGCGAGACAGGCCAGCTGCAGTAGGCCCCTCTGCCTCTGGCTTGCATTGGGATTCTGTTGGGAGCGGTGTTGCCTCGCTCGTGTATAGTAATTACCATATTTGTACCAGAGGGGTTCAAAATGTACAATCATGTTTGAGGCAGATAATTGATGCAGTACATGCAAAACCCAAATCACTCAGAAAGTCTATTTTTTTTTTTATGGACATTTTTTCATGTCCCCCAAGTCAAAACAGCAAATCAATTCCAAATCCATGAGTCATTCAAGAAGCTTATGCGGCCCTGCTACAGGCAAATGTCCTCCACCCCTTCCTGGGGCATCAGATGCTTCCAAATCTACTGGCAGGCATCCTACATCCAGGCCCAAGCCATATGGCTGCAGGAGCAGGCTTAGGGAGGAGTCCTTAATTTCCATAAAGTGTAGCTGAGATCATATCAAGTGATCAGAACTCAATCCTTGCAAAGACCATCTTGACTGAGCAGGCAGAACTCAATCGTTCCAAACACCATGTGTGATGCTAGAAATGGTGAGCATCCTCCATCCCAGCTGCTGACCCTGGTACTTAAGATATCTGCAAATCCATTGGCAGGCATCCTACCTGCAGACCCAAGGCCACAGATCTTGGGATTCGGATGCCCCCACTTGATCTTAGCCCACAAGAGGCTGCGACCTAACTTTGAGGTTTACTATCAACACTTTCTTACAGCTGCTTGCCTCAAGATAAAGAAATGCTTCAACTTTGATTCAGTTCTCACTCACTCACTAACAAGTTATAGTGAGCAATATAAAGTAAATAAGAAGAAAACTTATTTGCGTGTTCATTCACATATTTTTTTCAGTGTACGATAGTTTTTCGACAGTAGGATAATTTTGAGCTTCCAATACAATTATTTCATATTTAAGACCTGGCAATGCTGATTAGGCAGGAGCGCTTCCTGGGCCAGCCAGAGCTGCTGTGTTTAACAGGGCAGCGCCTGGCTCCTGAAGGTTGCCTCCTGCTCTGCCCCTGTCTGCTTCCTCTCCTCATGCTGCAGGGTTCTGGTCTCCAGAGCATGCCCCATTCCACAGAAAGACTACAGCTGCTCTGTAAGAGTTATTCAAGCACCAGGGCCTGCAGGCAGGGCCGCATAGCTCCTCTGAAGGGTGATTAGAAAGAAGATGGAGATGGGATTTTGTCTGTGGCCCAAAGGACAGGCCTAGGAGTAATGGGAATTTAGGTTTGAGATTAAGAGGGTCTTCCTGACTTTGCAGGTGCCCAGGCATTGGAACAATCTACTTTCTTGGAAGTTTTCAAGAACAGGGTTAGAAAGGCTGGGATGGTTTGGTCAGAGATGCTTCTGCCTTGAGGAAGGGGCTGGATTAGACCTTATGCCATCCCTTCCAGCCTAACTTTCCTATGCTCCCCACAGTAGGACCTGCTCCCTAAAGCAATGTTTCTCAAGCCATGAGTCATGACCCAAAAGTGGGTCACAAAAATATATGAAAGGGATGCAAACAAACTTTAAAAGTGGATTGTCCTTTAAAGAAGAAAAATGTGGGAAACTGTGGTTTTTTTCCTTTGCAGGCTGGCAGAGTTCCAGCCTGCAAGGGGCTGCTTGGGGCCTCCCCATGCCCGCCACACCCACCCCTGTCCCACAAACAGGGGTGGGGGGTGGGGCAGGGGACATCAGGAATGTAGGGCACTGGGTCAGGACTGGACATTGATGTTACAAATGGGTCCTGGTACAAAAAACGTTGAGAACCACGTCCCTAGAGGGCCTAGAAAGTAACTGGAATGCTCCTTTCCTACCTGATGACCCCTCACTAATTGAGGCAACTGAACTGGATTATAAAATCTCCTGCACAGCTTACCCTAAATGTGTGCTAAAGGCACCTCAAATGAAAATGCATCTCAAATGGCACCTCAGACAAAAGTAGTCATTAGCTGAGGTGTTGTTAAGCCACCACAAGTACTTTCCAAGCCTTTCAAAGATACGCCACTGCAGCAGAGATTAATCTTTGATTCATTTTGCCCAGGGTATCTGTATGAATGCTTTGGGGGAAAAAACATGTGTGCCCTCCAGTTACAGTGTATTTCACCAGAGCAGGGAAATAACATAAAATAAAACTGTCCAAATCCTGTTTATCCAAAACAGATAAAGCTGCTCCATTAATCGCACATGATCTGCCTCTTTCTGTAAAGAGAGAATGGTACAAAAGGATGTACTGAGGAAAGTTTTACTCACTACCTAAGTAGCCCCCCAGCCTAGAGGAGATGCCAGTAGCATCACCCAGTGCTGCACGCTCCTTCTGCCAATGAGTGTGTATAATAAGGTGCTCTATATCATGATCATGTTCTAGAATTAAATTATATTTTCAATAACATGCACTTGTGGGCCAATCTATGATTTTGAAAAGACAGAAGAGGATAGATAGTGAGATGCATCATCACATATGTAGAACAGGCTTCCAAGGGAGGTGGTGCTCTCCCCTGCCTTGCGGGTCTTTAAAAGAAAGCTGGATAGGCATCTGGCTGGGGTTCATGTGACCCCAGCACTCTTTCCTGCCCAGGGCAAGGGGTTGGACTCGAAGATCTGCTGAGGTCCCTTCCAACCCTAGCATCTATAAATCTATATGAAACCACATATATTTTTCTCCAATTAAGAATAAACTAGAAGTTTAACTAATATGCCAGGGGCCTAGGGCTGTATTACTCAGTTTCAGATTGGAGCAAAAAAACAAATATAACTTCATGCAATGAGTTAAAAACAATTGGCAGGGCTGTGAAGTAGGAGCTTTATCGCCAGGAGCAGCTAACAGACAGCAGAATTGCAGAAGAAAGGGTAGCTTAATTGGTGGAACATCAAGACCATTAAAAGGAACAGAGGGTCATTAAAACACCTGTGAAATGAAGAGTGCAGAAGAGGTCAGATAGATTACAATGAACCATGAGGTCAATTGACTCCCGCAGCACTGCCTGACAAGAAATGCTGCTGCCACTGCCAGGTGGTTGGTTTTAAACTTTGGTTGGAGTAGGAATCAAAGAGTGGTGCAGAAGTGCACCAGCACTCCCCCACCCCCACCCCAGATCCACCACTGCACAGATCCCATCCCACCCCCCCAGGCTCTGTGGCATCTTTGCACAGGGCACCAGAATAGCTAGCAAGGCTTCAGTAAGGTTATATGCACCATTACCATGGTATATAAGTAAATTCCATTTTCAGTTCTCCCAAGAGTTTTATTTCATCGTTTGTCTATTTTATCATTAAGCAGTAGAGAGGGAGGGAAGGCACATTTTATATTAAAAATTATCTGTTTCAAGCAAAATACAAACATTTAAAATGATCATGTTTCAGCAAAGTTGCGCACAGAGAGGATTTGTTAGTCCAGAATTGTCTATGGTGGGTTTAGGAGGCTGCTACTGATTCTAACCCTAACTCGATAGCCCTCTGCTCACTTACGCTGGCTCATGCTAAATTACTGGCAGTAACATGCATGAGTAATTTTAGTGACTTCAATGTAATTACAAATACCGGTTTTATGTCAAGAAAATTTGCATCAATACAGTATAGCTAAATGAATTCAGTAGTGTTAACACATCCCTAACAAGCACTGGACCGATGCAAAGCAAGACATGAGCCAGTGTAGTTTAATTCTGTGGCCAAATTCAGCATGCATTGTATGAAAGAAATATGATTAATGTTTTATAAGCTAAACCAGTTAGGACTCAAAGTTCCTTAACATACGTAAGTAGGGACCTACTTAACTTGCAGCAAGACAAAGCCCTTTTTATGGCTTAATCACAGCATGACGAGCCCATTTTGCAGGCATTTTGTGGTGGCCCCACCCCTTGGATCCAGTTGGGGGAGAGGTCCTATCCCTCAGCCCTGACTGGCAGAGAAGCCCAGGGGGCATGGCAGGGAGAAGGAACAGCTGCCATCTTGTCTGCTGTCCCCTTTGTGCTACTATGCCAGCCAATGCCTTCCCCTCCCAGGCAGGCCCATCTGGGAGGGAAAGACTGAATAAAAAGTTATTTTAATTAAGATTTTTTTTCATGGATTTCGTGGGCAACTCCACAAAATGATGATTTAGGTAGGTCCCTGTGCATAAGGCCACAATACATGTTGCACAATCTTGTCTTCTGTTAGCAGAAGGAACTAATTTAGAGCCTTACAGTAAACTTCCCCTAAATTGTACCACTTTCCTCTGTTTCCCAGTTTCTTTTAAGAGTAATTCCTGATTCCCCTATATAAGTATTTTGGTATTTGCAATGCACTTCCATTTCCTTTTATTAAATGCACATGGATTAACTCCAGTAATACTTAGGTGTTTTGGTGCTGTAGTTAGCACCTAAAATTGTGAACGCTAAATTCTAGTCCCATTTCTAATTCATTTTTCATTGATTGATTGATTGATTGATTGATTGTCTGATTGATTGATTGATTGGCATTCAATTACTAAGGACCATTTTGAAGGGACCAGTCTCCCTTCATTGTGCCTGCAATGCTACATACGTCTTTTATTCAATAGGCATAAAAGAAGTCCTGTTTAAAACAAGTAAATAGGTTTTTCTTTTAATACGCATTTTCACATGAGCAACCTCAAGAGGGTGCACTTAGCTTAATTTTATGCCTTTCACAATTTAACATATATTTTTGCAATACTATTAACACAGTAAGAATAGAGTACAAAGCTAAACTGTCAACCAAGCACCCTTTTAATTAATATTAAAAATATATATATGTAGACTTCTGTTTCTATAAGTATAGAAATCAGAGATAGGGAAATTAGCCCACTGCAAGTGTCTGTTCT